TCCCATACTATAGTAATTATTACATTATATTAGTGCTCAACAGTATAACCTTACCTCTGTTCTCCATGTCCAGTTTGTTATTTTAGTCAATAATCCCAACATTTGAGCAGGTAAAGGTTCTGGACAAGTTTGTCGTTTTTCCAGGGTTCCTGCAGATCCTTAAAAACTCTTAAAAGTCCTTGAATTCATCGATCCAAAAATAAGGCCTTAATTAGCCTTAAAATGTCTTAAATCAATATTCATAAGTCTTAAAAATGTGAACACATTGTAAGTAGGATGACTAATTTGTATCAAATATTAAAATAATTGGTAACATTTATTTATTTAAATATTCCCATTCAGATGTTCCTCTTTGACATCACTTCCTGTTGTTTCACCTGCAAACATCTCAACAACCGTCCATCTGAGAAATGTGACATTTATTTTCTAATATGATAATAATGTTGTCTTTACAAAAATACATTCATATTTCTTACAAACATTTGATGTCACAGGAACTTTAAGGCTTCATCTACAGCAAGTCAGGGTTCAGACCCCACTGTGGGTCAGAAAACAACAAACTTTGGGTCGTTAGAGAACTATCAGAAATTAAATGAAGTTTAAAACTGACTGATGAGTGTTTTTTTTTTTTGCTATATTTGACAAACTAGCAGTTAGATGTGGATATAAACAATTGGTCTATCAGCAATATTTGAATAATTCAACCAAAAATACTTCATTTATGAGTTTCTACCACAGTTTTATTTTTTTAGTAATTTGTGTTTTTTGTGAAATTAGTGTTAAATTTAATTTCACTTGGCATTAAAAAGTCTTAAATTTAACTTGCCTTAAACTGTAGGAACCCTGTTTTTCTGATTAGAAGTTGGTACCTCATGAACCAAAATAAACACTTTAATACACGCACCAATCAAAACTTTAGACATTTATAACCTGTTCCTTTGTTTTCTTTTGTTTGTCCCCAAACAACCCCACAAACCACTGAGCCATGCTTCAGGTGGTGCTGACAGTATCTGTGAAATCGTCCATGGAGAGAAACAATCTCTCATTAGAAATCCAACAACATTTTAGACTTAGGCTGCATTGTTTACTCACTTTAAGTTTGACCATTTGGTGTTAAATTAAGATGAGGAGAAAAACAGAGTTTATGGCAGCTTTTTAATAAAAACCTTTAGTATGTAAAGCTGACTGACTGTGTGCAGGTGCAGTAAAGTTCACAGGTTGTTATTGTGACGTCAGAGGACATGAGCACACCAAAGAGCAGCTCCTGATCTGAACTGTAACGTGTTGTTTTCTGACTGCAGCATGAGTCTGAGGGAGATCACCGAGAACATGAAGCTGGCCCGGGAGTACGCTCTGCTGGGGAACTACAGCTCAGCCAGTGTTCTGTACCAGGGCCTGCTGGAACAGATCAGGAAGTATACGTTCACGGTGCGGGACAGCAGTGTTCAGCACAGGTGGCAGCAGGTAACCACCATGTTCACCGTCTCACCTGAAAGAAATGTGTTGCTGAATTACGCAAAGACAAACAACAATATTTTAAAAATCTAATTATTTCAGCCAGTAAGAATCCAAAAATATTATAAGTCAGTGACAGGTGAAAGTAACAATAAAACATTAAATAACAATTCACAAATCTCAGGAAATGGACTTCTTGTTTCTGATCATGAAAAAATGTCTAACTTATTTAATGAATATTTTATTTCTTCAGTAAGGACATCATTACCGGGACAAGCTAA